CATGACTCAATACTGAGTGAATTGGCACTGTGGGTGAAAGGACCATTTCTGGAAGTCACTGTTACTCTGGGATGACTAGTGATCACTACACTTCACACAGAAGACCCTGAAAACCACATAATTATATTGTGCTAAACCCAGGCCAAGGGATCCCCAATTCAGCTTCCCCTTATCCAGTTCTCAAAATGTGCACTGCCGCTCTGGGGCCTGCTGAATGAGGGGAAGCGGGAGGTGAGTAAGTCAGAGTGGAAAGAGTCAGCAGTCTCTCACCAGTTAAAGCACCTTACTTTCACAAGCTTTATGAACACACATGACCACAAGAATATGCGCTTGGGGTCCCTATAGGGGTCTGTGCAAAGTAACAGATTTTGATGCATCAGTGTCATTAACTTCCCTGTGCTTCCCTGATGCTCAGACTTAAAACCATTATTCTGCTGACCATGTTTTGCCTTGACTTTAGGTTTTAACCCTTTCTGACCTGGATTGGCAACCTTGGAGCTGTGACTACTTCAGCTGTCCTCATGTCCCTGTCAGCTGACCCAGACGCAGTGTACTTTCCTCTGTTGAATTCAGTATTTAGGTCCTGTGTTTGGAAATGAAATGATGGTATGATGGGACATGGCCAGGATTGGCTGTAACATTATTTTCTTTCTTTCTGCCTCTTCTGCAGTGGACACTGAACCCTGAAAGTGGGTGGGGCATGCTAATTCAGGGCTTGTTTGTTATCATTTTACACCCATGGGGATGACTTAAGTGTCTTTTAATTCTCTGGAGACAAATCGAAATAACTGACTTCTTTTGAATATAGATAGGAACTAGGCATGATCAGAAAGTGAAATCATTCTCTCTCTAGACCTTGGGAAACATGGGCATTAACCTTACGAATTTTAAAATGCAGGCTCGACTCATCTCTGCCTCCCTTCATAAACATTTCCTACTAAGTCCATGTGTATTAAGCGTGCATCTTGCAATGTAATGGATATCCCAGGTTAGATTCTAGTTCAATCCATCAAACATGTCCATAAGCATAAGGAATTTTGAGTCACACTCACCCTGGGGAAAAGTGTGCGAGGATCAGCCAGTCATGATCGGACAAGCAGAGCTGTGGGAACTCTGGTTTTTCACACTATCACATTCCTGTCTTGCTTTCCATTTTTCTAATTTCAACTAATTACCATCCCTATTAATCTAGCACATAGCACAGAAGCTTAGCCACTCCCTTGTGTCTGCAGTTTGGATTTCCTTCTGGTTTTTATTTCAGTTCCTGCCTCCTTTCTTTTATTTATTAATCAATTCCTAGGTGAACAGAAGTCTAATCTTTCTAGTCCAATTCTGAATTTTCACTCTATGTTGGCAAGCTTTTCTTTTCTATCCTGGAGGGAGACTTGGGCAAAAGTCAGACCTCTTGCTGTATGGAACACCTGGCTGAATTTGGAAAGTAAACTAGGTAATGTGTGACCAATTTAACCAGTAGGCTGGGTGATTTTGTTTTCCTTTCTTTTCTTCTTTCAAACTCTTCTGTGCTATATAACCCAGGATGAAATCATGTACAACTTATCTATATGTTTAATGCAAAAGCATTCTGTGTAAAGATAAAACTGAAATTTCATCGTAAATAGACCTATTCATTCAGTGCTCTGGAGGCCAGCCAGGAATGAACTCCAAACGGGAGACTCTGCAACAGCAACTGACAGCTCAGCCTCCACGTGACTCAAACCTATATTTTCAAACGGCCAATAGAACAAGCTTCAGGTGCTCTCAAGCTGTGACTAGGCTCATATGGATAGATAAACAGAGGCCCCAGACTGTGCACGGAATATATAAGTCATCAAAGCAATTTTAAAATCAATTCGGCATTTGACAAGAAGCCAGTCTGGTTCCCTTGTGATTACAATGATATGCTCTGGCTACCAGCACGGGTCACATTCTGACAGCCGTGTTTTGTACATGCTGCAACCTATGCAGGCTCCCCCCCTTGCCCTCCCCCTCCAAGGAAAACCATAAAGCAGCTTCACAACGGAGTATCTGTGTGATCACCAGCACGTGGGCACCATTCCACTGGGAGGGCACAGGGGAGACCCTAGGGACTGGCCAACAGAGCCCAGGCCCCCCGTGTGCCTGGGATGGCCCCAACCACGTTCATAACAAGCAAAAGGAGCAATCACGTTGGAATATAGAGATAATCGAAAACAGGCTTCTTCTAAGGATGGGGAATTTTGTTTTGTTTTGGGGAGAGGGTCAGGACAGAATACTGGCAATGACTAAAATATCGCCACAGGCCCTCATGTTATTAATCTTCATAGGAAAAAAAGAAGTGGGACTTGTGAATCAGAAACCCATTTGCCATTAATATTTTTCCTCTTTATGTGAATTCCAGTTCTAAGTCTCTTTTTCTTATTCTAGAAAGTTCTCTTGGCTCTTGGAGGTAGAGAGAAGACTTGGTGTGAAAATGAGGTGGAGGAAAATGGGGGCTCATTATGCCTTTATATAGCTTCATTTTATAGTTTAATATCTATCTTTGCTTATTCCTTTTTTTCCTCATTGAAGCTTTAGAAGCACGTGCCTCTGCTTCTTCTTGAGGAAACCAGAAAAGGTAAGTATCTCCCAGTTGTAATTTTGATGCTGTGCCACTATCTCACTGTCAGGCGCGCAAACCCAAGTCCTCTCCTTGGCCTCCATTTCCCTGATTTTTCAACCCCAAACTCACCATCTACAGCCATGGCTGAGGAACTGTTGCCGTGATCTGGCGTCGCCAGTGCCCGCGTCTGCTCTTCTGCACAGTGCTCCAGCCTCTGTGGGCCTTGTTGGCTCGGTCCTGGCCCACCACCACGTCCCCGGTCCCTGCGCTCCGAGCAGAGGCAGGTGCCCCAGGTGAAGGCTCCGCATACGGAGGGCACGCAATAGAGACTGTGTCTTCAGTTAGGCTCAGCTCCGCCTGTTGGACCAAGTGCTGTGTACCTCCCTGGACCTGGATAAATAATAGGTAATATTGCTAAACATGCTGGAGCAAAGCCCAGGTGAAATTTGACTACATGGAGGCCACAAATGGGATTTGGCTGGCTCCCTGGGGAACATTCTCAGGAAAGGCACGGTCATGGAAAACTGCCTTACTTTTCTCCCAGGTAATGCAGAACAGGCTGGTGACAACCTCTCAGGGGAAAAAGTGTCTTTATGGTTGGATCATGCCAGTCTCCTGCAAAAATTCAAGCTGTTTTTCAAGATCTGTAAGGCCCCAAATCAGCTTCCCACTCTTCTGAACTCATCCCCAGGCACGTTCCTCCCATCCCTGCACCTTTGCATCCCAGACAGGCAAGCTATCTGCATTTTGCTCTTTCTGCCTAGAGCACTCTTCTCGCACATCTGCGCTGCCTTCTTGTCATCCACCTGCTTAGTTATTACTTCTTTGGTCAGTTGTTCTTATTTTGTCAGGTAGTTAGGCAGACAAGAGCTGGTCCCACCCTGTCCGGGACTGGTCCACCGCCTCTCCACTTAAAGGTCCACCGCCTCTCCACTTAACCTCTTGTCACCAGATGGCAGAACACGCCCCAAACTCCTCCCATTATATGGTTCAGTCTCTGCCTTATCAGGGCTAAACGATGTAAAAAGCCTAGCGGGGCTTCCCGACCACCAACACAGGTTGGCAGCAGGCACACTAAGACCCAGGTGGTGACCGGGAGCTCTCTTGGGGTTCATTATACCATAATAAACTTACATTTTGGTTTTGCCCCTCACCTATGGGTTTCACTCAGGTACTTATGGGAAAGCACCTGCACCCTAGAAGAAGGTTATATAACCGAAACTGTCAATCAACATGTCAACTGAATGATGAAAGACTTGGGAGGGACTTTCCACCATTTTAAAAGCCAACCCTAACCCTGAAAGTGGGGCTGCCTCTGGTTTCCAGACAGCCTGCTCTCTGCCCTTTTCAATTATACTCTCCCTTTATCTAATAAACTCCTGCTGCTCAAGACTGTTCTAAGGCTGTCTCATGATTAAATTCTTTCCTTTGAGAAGACAAGGACCAAGAAAACACAACACACTGAACTGGTAACAATTTCTTACTCCATTTTTTCCCTTTGCAATTATACCTATGAGAATTTATATTTTCACTTGTTCACTTATTTTTGTCTTCCCCTGTAGAGTAAGCTCTGGTAAGGCAAGAAGCATATTTACCACTGTATTCTCTGCTGTACTTAAAACAATGCCTGGCATGCATGAGGCACTCACTGTAGGGATGTGGAGTGAAAAATGGACATGGCATGACCCAATGTGGCCTTTGAATATTATGCCACATAATTATTTATATCAGATAATTATCTGGCACTGTCACAAATTAAACTTGCCTACCAAAAATTCAGGGTTTGGGCTGATTTGATTAAAGCTTATGAAGACCCTACTTGTGCAAAATACCACTGAAGGCCACATGGAGGAGGGTCTATAGTTAATTGAGTGAATTGGTCTGCTCTTGGGGACTTTAAACCTCTTTGAGGGCAGATTATACAAAATGAGACAAAATATAGCTCAAGCTCAATAGAGATCCAGCGTTTATCCATCTTCCTCTGTCCACATTCAAGTTCACCACTTGAGGTTCCTTTCTGAGTGTTTTGAGTCTGTTCACTGGTCTTTGGAGCCACAGATGTATCTATTGTTTTGCCCCATCCTCAAAATAGGTCTCCCCATCTCCGCACCAAACTGACTCTCATCTATTCTCCGCACTGTTGCTAAAATAGTATTTCAAGCTCAAAATCTCAGTGTTTTGCTCCCCTATTTAAACCCTTCAGGGCCTCCCCACACTCTAAAGCATAACCTTCAAGGTCTTGTCTGAACCGGCCCTGGCCAGCCTCCCGGCCCTGTCCCCACCACACCCCACCCTAACGCCACAAAACAGCCACAAAGTTACATACTCCTTTCTCTAAATAGTCCCTGATCTCACTTGTCATGTGGCTTTTTCACAGATGACTCTCTTTGCCTGGAGCTCTCATTCCAGTCTGGACTCAGTTTTAATGTCCTGTTTTCTGTGAAATGTTCCCTTACCTCAGAGTCTATCTGGTCAGACACACGCCCTTTACCCCTCGGGTGCCCTCAGCCTTCCCCCTTTAGAGCACCATGATTCCTTTAGCTCTGTTCTTGTCTGTTTCTCTCATTAGATTGGAACCTCCTGGAGCACAGAACAGGGTCTGGTTGTAAAGGGGGAAAAAGAGAGCAGACAAAATGACAGATGAATGAGCCGGTAAGGGGCTACAACCACGACGCCGTGGGAGGAGACCCAGGGATGCGGTCATTAATGGCATCATGGAGAAGTGACGTTTACTCTGGGCTTTGAAGATGACCAAAAAGCTTCTACAACAAGGGGAAAGCATGAAATACTTGAGGCTGAGGTAACAAGGGTCCTGCGTGGCTGGAAGGGTTTAAAGGGCAATGAGGCCAGGAACATAGCTATAGCTAAAAGCTAGATGGTTGAAGGCTTCAAATGCTCTAACGCAGAGTTACGACTTATCCTGAAGGCCACAAGGAGCTGTGATTGTGACTGTTTCTATACAAGTGTAATGTGAAATGATGTATGGATCAGGAAGAACCACGTGGCAGCAGACAGCTTGTGCAGGTGAGAGACTGGAGGTAGTAGGGCCTTTGGGGACCATTTCAGTAATCCAGGTGGGCAATGATGAGGCCCTGGGCTGAAGCTGGGGTGGGCCAGGGAAGAGATGAGAGGCCTGTGGAAGAAGAACAGACAGCGTCTAGTGTGGGGGAAGAAGAGACAGCACCAGTCAGCCGGGAGGATGGTGTGGCGGGTGTTCAACGAGGCTGCCAAGCTAAGTGTCCCAGACAATGGTCTGCTGTGCCAAGCACTGCTCAGTGTGTACTGGGGGAGTGTGTTTCATGCTGTGCACTGCAATTTAAAAGGACATTCAAACAATGTAGCAGATTCCGTGAAGGGCAAGGAAAGGGCCTGAAAACTTGACTGAGGAGAAGTGGGCTGAAGAATCCTAAGTTATTTGTTTGGCACTGTGGGTAAAATTGCAGTATTTCCACAATCTTTCACCAGGCCTTAGTGGATCTCGGTGTTTCCAAGGGGTGGAGAGAAGGACTCCATCTCCATATCAGTACATGATTACATGGGGGAGTGAGGGCGTATCTGGACCGGAGAGGTTGGGAGGGGTCCCATTTTGCAGCCAGGTCACAAGAGACATGGGTAAGCAGAAGTGGACAACTGCTTGTACTCAATAAATAGGTTTCTCCCATTTTATTTCTCCCTTTGACTGATTTCAGCTTCAAAGGTAATTTGCCCTGGGCTGGAAATTTATTTTCCCCCATTAGTTACAGTAATTAGACTTAGTATTTCTCCATTGTCTCTTCAGACTGAAAACTCCCAGGGAACCCGGACTTGTCTCACCCTGCAGCTAAGCCTTGTCCACTACATTGTATTCAATCTTCTCATAAATGGTCATATTTTTACATGCTGAAATGATGTTCTCTTGGATATATTGGGTTAAAGAGGAGATCAAATTTAATTTCACCTTGTTCTTTTCTTCAAATATGGCTGTGAGAAACCGAAATTACGTGATCTGGCTCTTCTTAGTTGCTACTGGAAGACACTGAGTTAGCAGATACAGGCTGCGCCTCTTCTCTGAGACCCACGCAAGTGACTGTTACGGAGCCTGCCAACAGGAAACGAGAGGGAGAACTGGTAACGAGATCCCTGCACGCGCTGTGAATGATACTCCATTGACGGAAGTTGGTACTTCCCCAAGAGTTCACATGCTTTACCCCTTTCGTCTCCTAGACTCCCCAAGTTTTTTGTTTTGTTTTTGGAGAACAGCCTGCTGCTGCCAGGACAGGTGCCTCTGGCCCCTGGCTGGCCCTCCTTCCCAGAAAGCCTGCTGGGAGGCTGAGAGCCCAGCTGCCCTCCCCTCCTGCCCTTCCTTGCCACCTGGCTCCCATTCTGCGGGGCCCAGCGCTGCACAGCTGTCTGGGGCGCTGATAGAAAAAAGGCAAGAAGCACCCCTGGAAATGTACTGAAGTGGGGAAATGTATACTGACGGTAATTCCTCTCTGGGTGAGAGGTGCTTTGATTGAGTTGTTGGGATAATTTGGTGCAGTGCTCTGTGTGGAGGGGTGTAAGGAACCAAAGGGCCTTCAGCAAGTCCTTGAAGTCACTAAATTGTCTCCTAAAGAGCATGGCTTTGGTTAATTGCAGGCTTCTGTTCTGCTGAGTTGGGTGTGTACAGTTGAGGCCAGAGGTATTGCTTGGGCCTAGAGAGGTGGGGAGCTGCCCATGATTCTAGGCCCCTCTGAATTCATCCAGCAGGGGTTCCTTTGTTAGTATTTTAATAAATACCCATTGGCTGAGAAAGCAAATGATTAGTCTCTGGGGCACCCACATGTCAGTCCAGCGTGCTCTGATGAAAAGCATTTTCCTTATAGCTGTTTTTACTGTCTGACCTGGTTTGGGTAGGACTGTAATGTGTCTGCTGGTGGTCATTTCTAAGAAACGACAGAGCCTTACGTATACATGATGATTTTCCATGTCTTAAGGGATAAATTAAGAGGGGAGTAGAAAGCAAAGCAGGGGCCACATCTTTAGGCTATTGATTTCTAGGATTTGGTAAACAGCCCTGTTGCGTTAATGAGAAATGCAAACAAAGGCACCCTCAAATGAGGCTGTGAGGCCAAAGTAATGATGGATGAGGTCGGGAGAAAGCCAAAGAAATATTTGTTCAAACTATAATCCATCCAGTCAATAAGAAAAGAAGAAAAAAAAAGAACCTTTCTTGACTCTGCCCTCTCTAGCCACTCCCACCCCAAGAACCATACTCAGGTCCTTCTCCACAACCCAAGAGCAACACCACCTTTAAGCTCTTTCTAGCAGTCCGGCCCCACTCTCCCAAGCGCTTCAATGTTATTCTGCACACAGTGGATGCTGACTAAACAAAGGTAAGGGACTGAAAAGAGACTTCTTACCAGGGCCTGGCAGTGAGGGTGCCTTCACTGTCAGTCCTGGTCAGCCTGGACCACCCAGGACTCTGGAAGCTGAGTAGGACTCAGACAGTCCGGTGGCCACTGGCCATTGGCAGAGGCTAAGCCTGCAGTGCTTGAATCTGCAGACGGTCCAGGCCAAAACTGGCTGTCCAGGCAGTGGGCCCTGGCTCTTTGAGTCGTGCCTGGAGAGTGTGTGAGACGCAGCAGCTCTGTACTTCAGGCCTCTCGGTTCCCAAAGCGGGTGCAGGTTATGGGGCTCCTGATGTGCAGGGAGCTCTTCTGGACTTTGTTCAGAGAGCTGAAGGATGCAGAGTGACACTCCTGAAGGTGCCCGGGCCCCAGCCCTCTAGGCTAACGGTGCCTTGTCATCTCTACATCCGCTGTGTGTGTGGTCGGCTCTGCAGAGATGCCCATGCCCGTAATCTTGTGAAAATTAATTAAGAGAAACCTCACTTACAGGGGATCGGGAAGCCTGCAGGGGAAGCTCTCATGCCCTCCACTCCTTGTAAATCTCAGATCCCACCAGCAGAGACGAATTCCATGCTGTTTGAGTTACTTTATCACCCAGCAGGACGAAGGCTTCCACCTTCCACCTGCTCCCTACAGTCCAGCCAAAGAGAAACTGTTACAACTCAGCCAATGAGAAGCCACAATACATGGGCTTCTCTGGTTTCCTCCAGTGGATTTCTTGCTTAGAACAGGCCTCCCAACTCAGCCTGTTCCTCTGTAAATGTGTTCCTCTCCTTTGTTTTCTGGACATGCCTATGGTTCTTCTGTGGCTTGCATGCCTGGATTACAATTCTCTGCCATTCCCAAATAATCCTGTTTTTTTTGGCTGGTAAGATGACTGTTTTAATTTTAAAGTTAACAGTGACCATGTGGAAAGTCAGAATAGTGCCAAGAGAGATGCATACCTCCTCAAAATAGAATCAAGAGATTAGTGTACTGATCATGGAGTTGCTGCAATTGCTCATAATAGTAGTCGTATTAGCAAATACTTACATGGGGCTTACCATGTGCCAGGCACTGTTCTAGGCACTTTAGAGACATTCATGAGAATTATCATAATTAGATTTTATTATCATCCCCATTTTCTATATGTGAAAACTGACACGCTGAGAGGTTAAGTAATTTGGCTAAGATCTCACATTAGAATAGACAAATCTGAATAAAACCAGCGTTAGAGTTCTTCATCCCCTAGATTGCATTTTATTGTGAATTTTCTCATTGATATAGCTTTTTTTGTGTCTGTTTACTCATATTATAGTGGAGAAAAATACGTGGTGGTATTTGACAGTCACAAGCAAATTTATCTTAGTGACCGGTAAAGGTTTGACCCCAGGTGCAGGCATCTGTATCTCTGCCCGTAACATGGTAATACTTCTTAGACATTTTCCCTGAACGACTGACTGATGTGAAGTGTGCACCCCTGTCTCGGTATTGTGTATATTGTTGTAAATTGAGTGAACCTCATTTTTATAGTCTGGTCTGTTTGGCCCTGGGTGTGCGGCTGTGGCCTCTGACACTGGGTCTGTGTAACTTCATCTAAATGCAAATTCCAAAGTTTGGATTTTGAGAAAAGAAAGGAGTCTTAAAACACACTGATATCAAAATCCCAAGATCAACCTCTGTGGGCTGGAAAGCTGATGAGGCAGGCCAGGGAGAGGAGGCAAGGGGCAATTAAGTGGACAAAAGGAACAAAGGGTCACCAAACCAAGGAGAAGCAGTTCCTTGTCAGGTAATCTAAATCTCCTTTCTACAAGGGAGAGAAAAATAAATTCAGGAAACTATTTCTTGGGTGGGAAGATTGTTAAGAAAGTTTGCCCAATCCAGGCAGTCCCTGAGTTAGTGTGATTTACTGTTTGTGAGATCCAGCCGTGCAGACCTAATGACATGACTTAGCATTAATATACACTCAGTGTCTGTGTATGTGTGTGTGACTTAAAATGCTAATAAAGTTGGGAATTAGGCCAAAGGCACAGATTGGGCACACTCACATTCTCCCCACCCCACAGCCCTCTATTCCCTCATGTCCTTAGAATTAATGGACAAAATGTTTAAATATCGGCAAGGGAAGTGCAGGCATTAGTGAGCCAGAAATGATGAGGAATCTAGAAGTTAGACTTTGGATGAAATTGGTTTGAAGGAGGAATCCACAGCCCAGGACAGGTGCAGGAGGGGGCGACGGATGGGGCGCTCACAGGACAGGTGCAGGAGAGGGCGACGGATGGGGCACTCACAAATAGCACTGAGCTGAGAGGCGGGAGGGGGGTGTCGGGGGTGGGGAGGTGAGCGCCAGGATGGGCCAGGATGGGCATTGCTGTGAAGGTATCCTGGCAGGGAGCTTCTTCCCTGTCCCCTTGAGCTAGTAGCTGCACATGTGGGAGGCAGGGCCACGTCTGGGGTGGCTGGGGAAGCCCACAGGAGATGAGAAGCCTCTATACCAGTCTGGTCTCCGCTTGGAGGTGGGTTGTGGTCATAGGCTGAAAGGAGCGAGCTAATAAGAGAGTGATCTCACGACCCAAATCGTCATGCATTAGAGGAGAACAGTATCATGAGAGACGGGCACCACATTTCACAGTAAAAGGGAACATCTGAAAGGCACAACGAACAGAGCTCCCAAGGGAAGACCTTAGAATAGGTATGCTTAGTATTTTCAGAGAGCTGTGAGGAAAGAGTATTCTGCACCACGTCAACCTATCACTCAGGTACAAGGTAAAATAGGACATTTTAAACAAGGCACTTAAAAATATATCACTTGTGAACTTACATGAAATCATTAATAGACAATCTATGTCAACATTATTGAAAATGAACTCAAAATGAAGATGTGGAAGCAGGACTAAGCAAAAAAAGAAGTGTCCTTTACAATTGAGCTTTAATTATTTCATTGAATGTTAATTATTTAATTAAGTATTAATTATTTAAAATATAATAAAATTTAGAACTAAAACCCCATGTAATTTCAGCTTGTGTGAGCTCCAGGGGAAAGAGGAGAGGGTAGGAGGTTATAAGTACTGGTTAAAGCTAGGCTTTGAGAGATAAACAGAACTTTAACATGAATTTCACAAATTTATGTATATGCGTCAGAAATTTTAACAGAACTACTAAACAGGAGGTATAACTGCCAACCACTTAAAGGAAAAACATGGAATAAAAACAATATGTAAAGCAAATATAATCATTCCAGTAAGTTTATCAAAGGGTAAAATAAGAATAAACAATAAAGCATTAATGTACCCCTAATGTGTTACCAACAAAAGGATTTCCTTAGAAAATGAATTGAAGATTTGAAAATACTATTTATTATACCATTATCTCGAAAATTGATAATTTACATTAGCATACAAATGGCACTGAGAAGTCCAATAAAAAAACTTCCTTAACTTTTTAACTTGGCATTTTTTAAGTTTATTGACTCGGTAATCTGTACTCCTCTTTTAAAAACAGGTAACATCAATAACATCCAAAATATATACAGAACTCACATACCTCAACACCCAAGAAACAAATAACCCGATTAAAATATGGGTGGAGGATCTGAACAGACAGTTCTCCAGAGAAGAAATTTAGATGGCCAACAGGCACATGAAAAGATGCTCCACATCGCTAGTCCTCAGAGAAACGCAGATTAAAACCACAATGAGATATCACCTCACACCAGTTAGGATGGCCACCATCCAAAAGATAACAACAAATGTTGGTGAGGATGTGGAGAACGGGAAACCCTCGTACACTGCTGGCGGGAATGTAAATTAGTTCAGCCATCGTGGAAAGCAATATGGAGGATCCTCAAAAAATTAAAAATAGAAATACCATTTGACCCAGGAATTCCACTCCTAAGAATTTACTTGAAGAAAACAAGATCCCTGATTCATAAAGACATATGCACCCCTATATTTATCACAGCACTATTTACAATAGCCAAGATATGGAAGCAACCTAAGTGTCCATCAGTAGATGAATGGATAAAGAAGAGGTGGTACATATACACAATGGAATAGTATTCAGCCATAAGAAGAAAGAAATCCTACCATTTGCAACAACATGGATGGAGTTGGAGGGTATTATGCTCAGTGAACTAAGCCAGGCAGAGAAAGACAAGTGCCAAATGATTTCCCTCAGTTGTGGAGTAAAACAACAAAGCAAAACTGAAGGAACAAAACAGCAGCAGACTCACAGACTCCAAGAAGGGACTAGCGGTTAACAAAGGGAAGGAGTTGGGAAGGATGGGTGGGGAGGGAGGGAGAAGGGGATTAAGGGGCAGTATAATTAGCCCTCACAGTATAGGTAGGTCATGGGGAAGGCAGTATAGGATGGAGAAGACAAGTAGTGACTCTATAGCATCTTACTACACTGAGGGACAGTGACTGCAATGGGGTGTGTTGGGGGGGACTTGATAATATGGGTGAATGTTGAAACCACAATGTTGCTTATGTGAAACTTTCCCAAGATTGTATATCAGTGATACCTTAATTTAAAAGAATCTCTATTAAGGAAAGACTAGAGATATGCAGAATATGAAATAAGCAGTCTAACTACTAAATTCATATCCTGGCTATTTGATTTTGTCCAGATAGCTTTGGTTTTCTCAACAATAAATGTGCAAATTATAACTCCCCCACCCCCCAAAAAAGTCTAGAGGGAGCAATTGATAAACAGAATTCAACTAAATAAAGATTCATATTTACTGACAAAAACAAACAGATAACACCTATTAAATGCCCTCAGAATTAGTGTTCTGTAGAACATATTTTTAATAACCAGTCTATAATATGGCAGATTCATTGAGATAATAACAAATATTTTGTTGGCACAATTTCCTAATAGCTATTTCTTAAAACTATTGAATAGCAAGGCTGGCATTTGGGGATCTGTCATTCAGCTGAGTCAGAGAAATGAATCATCTGATTTAGATGTCTTCAGCTTCTCACATCTCTGTTGATTACATCTTAATTATGGTACAATTAGCTAGTCCCTCTAATAGCAAGAGATGTTATAGAAGTCTTATGATTTTTTTTCAGGCACCTGTGAACAGGTGTAGGACACATAACTCAGTAATACTATTTTGCAGACTTGCCATTTCTACTTCCACATCAAAGTCCTTCAATATCTATTTATTCTCGAAATGACAAGTTAAGCAGGTGGGAGGATTGCTAAGAGAAGGAAAAGAAAGCCTTTGTGGAGTAACACACACTCCGCTGCAGATCATATCTTAGTCTGACATCAGGTTGTATTACCTGATCAATAATGGCTGTCAGAGATCCCTTCTGCCCACCAGTAATTCACAGGAAACACCTTTATTTAAAAAATTATAAATAGCATAGATTCAATCTGCTTTTTACTTTACTGCACTCACATCACTTAACAGTGCAGTTGCATCTTAATTCCGGAGTCAATGTGCAAGGCAACCATCCCTAGAAATGAAATTAAGTTGTAAATTTATTGAATAATAGCACTTGGTTTACCATATGCGATATTGTGATTTATAATAAATAGATATTTGATTTTCCTACCCATTTCTGACACAGCACTCTTAAAACCCTTGAAATTTTCTAAGGGATGACAACAGTAAAGGTATCTTAAGACCTAACACACAAGGTCTTTTGAGAGCACCTAAGGATGGGGGCTGATTGCCAGGAAAACCAACCTGGTGATTAGACATTTGGAACTTTGATTCCCATCCTCCTGACTTCCAGGAGCAGAGAGGGCCTAAGGTTTAATCAACACATGGAGATTTGGGGAGAGTGGCACACTTAGAGCATAGAAACGCCATGCCCTTTCCCATACCTGCTCTATGCATCTCTTCCATTTGGCTGTTCCTGAGTTTTGCAATAAATGGGTAATCCTAAAACAAATCCTTTTAGAATAAATGGGTAATCTAAAAAGTAACATGTTTCTCTGAGTTCTGTGTGTTGCTCTAGCAAATTAGTTGAACTCAAGAAGGGTGTCATAGGAACCTCCAATCTATAGCTGATTGAACAGAGGCACAGGTGTCCACCTGGACGTGTGGATAGCTTCTGAAGTGGTGGGGGGCAGTCTTGTAGAACTGGGCCCTTAACCTGGGAACTGGATGCTACCTACAGGTTAATAGAGTCAGAATAGAGCTGAACTCTCAGACGTCCTGTTGGTGTCCACGAAGTGCTTATTGGGGGTGTGAAGGAAACCCCCTCCAGTGGAATTGGGTCCAGAAGAGCTTTTACCATGTACAGTACAAACCTGAGCAGTCATACACATATATAAATATAATATACATGGGAATGTATAGTATATAATACATTCAAATGCACTATACAACTTGCAGTGTTTTATTTAATTTTATAAGAAAGAGTGTGTGGTTGAATTCCTCCAAGTGTGGAGATTTTATTGCATGTGACCTCAGATCTTCTGTATAATTTTCTAGCCAGGGTGATTTTTATTAAGATATAAATTTAATCTTGTCACTTCCCTGCCTAAAACTCTTACTGGCTTTCAGCTGAACTGACAGTATCCCGGACCTCTAACATGGTGCGCGTGGCCCTGCTCCTCAGCCCTGCCAGCCTCTCCTGCTTCACCTCCTGACTCTCTCCCCATCACTCACTGGTCTCGGGCCACCTTGGTCATCTTCAGTTTATGAAATACGCCTTCAGATATTGTCTTCACGCTTTGTAAGGTTTTTCTTCCCATTGGTCTTTGAGAAATCCTTCGTGACTGCCAACTCCTAATGTACCCTTTTATTAGTCCTCATATCAACCGTGGTTTTTCTATTAAGATACTCATCATCATTTAAAAAATATGTGGATTTGTTGATTCAGTCAACAACCTGTGTAATTCCTTCCATTATAATGTAAGGTTCATGAGGTTTTTACCATTATACCCTCAGCCCTAGCATATAATGGGTGCTCAAGAAATAGTGATTGCAATTATAAAACGAACCCTTGCAGGCCACTTCACAATACTGCGCTAAATGCAATATCTGTGAACACATTTACTCCTCACTACAGTTCTAAGCTGGTGTTACTGTTATCTCCACTTTACAGGCAAGGGAGCTGAAGCACAGAAACCATTGAGTCACCTGCCCACGGTCATACAGCGGGAGGTGGCAGAAGTGGGATTTGACTATAAGTACTCTGGTTCCAGCATGCGTGCTGTTAACCAGTAGTGTCTCAGTATTTTCAACGTTAGAATGTTAATAAACACCAATGAAAC